AAAAAAAAAAAAAAAAAAAAAAAAACTTAGCTCTTACTTAATCAAATATCTCAAGAAAGAACACTTGACACAATCGCACGTTTAAAGGCAGCGGACTAGCGATTGTGCGGCACTCACTTTCCAATGACAAGTGAGCTGAGCTAATTTGTACTTGCGTCGCCTACGGCCAAGCGACGTATGATCAAGCCTCTAGCCTCGGTTTTAAAAGAAGGTTTTGGAAAACGAGGGTAGAGAGAGATTTTAGAAAGAGAGATTTTTGAAAGAGACGTTATATAAGCAAGCAAGAGAGATATAACAACGGCTTAACATATATAACCTTGGGTAGGGAGAAGTTGACTACATTTACTACTGTTGGGTGATGAAAGTCCCACATCGACTAATTTAAGAAATAATGATGGGTTTATATTCAAAGAATACTCTCTTGATTCACATGAGGCCTTTTGAAGACATTATTGGTGATACCAACCTGGTTGATTATAAATTAAGATAATATATATGTGTATATTTTTAGTTTAATTTTGGAGGGTTGTTCCATATATATATACATGTGTGTATATGCTTAGGTCATACATATGTCATCTCAATACATAGAAAATTATTAATTTATTTGTATAGTTGATGTTTAGATATATTTTTAAAATATTGGAGGGATAAATTAAAATGTTTTAAATGGCATAAACAAAGATGCCATTCTTTTGACTTTGTTTAATTACTTGGCCCTCTTTTTAGGAAATTGATTTTTTTTTCTTAAGCTATCCATGTTGTTTATTTAATAAGAATAAAACTATATTATAAAAACCAAGAATAAAAATAATAAAAGTATCAAAATAGAAATCAATTTTAATAATAATTATATTCAAATTAACGGGTAACTTAAACATTTTGAAATTAAATAACAACTCCTTAAAAATTAATTTTAAAAAATTGAAATTAAATAGATAAAGATGAAATTGTTAAATAGATAAAGATGAAATCTCATGACTTTGATTTGACTTTCTCAGAATGCCTCATACTAATGGAGAGAATATTTTTTGTTTATAAAGTCATTATCATTCTCTAAATTAGTAAACCGAGTAAAAAGGTAAAAAGAGTAAATCTTGATCTCAACCATGTGTAGAAATATTAAACGAATACAAGTAAAAAGTAATAATAATAATAAGAAGAAGAAATCGAGGAGGGATGGAATTAATGGGGGTCGGGAAATTTGGGTCGGTAGTAAAGTGGAGGCAGAGGGTTCTTGAAAACCGGCGGAAGTGGATAAACCAAACCGGAGTAATCAAAACCGGAATACGTTGTTAAGGGAGGAATTCCGGGAGAGGGCCGTGGATTTACAATTACAAGAGGGTCTTCCCAGCCCTCGTAATCATAAACGCTGAGTTCTTCCGACGACTGTGACAAACCATTCCGGCCATCGGAAAAAGTGGAAGAAGAAGTAGAAGTGGAAGTGGAAGTAGAAGGGTGGTCGGAATCGGAGTCGGAGCGGCTGCTACTGCTGCCAGGGAATTGAACCATGTGCCTTAACTCTGAGGCGTCTTCTTCTACTTCAATGATTTTCTTCGACTTATCATTGGTCCTTCTTTTCGCCGCCGGTTGGGCTTTGGCGGCCCTCGGCGGCGCCGGCGGCTTCTTCATCTTTCGCTTTCTGGTGGCTGAAGAATCCATTCTCTCGTTTCTTTCACAATTTGGCGGATTTCTTGTATATATATATATATATACACACAATAAATTTAAATTTTTTTGGAAAAAATGAAAATATATTTTGATTTGATTTGTGAATTACAAAATATTATATTGACATTTTAAATCGTTGTTAAATTTTAAAATTTTATATTCAAATTAATATTTTTACTTTTGAAGTTTAATTAATTTTCACTTTTTGTTCATTAATATTGTTAATTAATTAAAAATAATTAAAAAAAAATGTCATTTAAATGGTAGAATTAGTAGACACAAAATAAATTTTAATTTTAAAATTTAAAATTTACGATGAAGTTGGAAATTAAACTCAAAATTTAGAGAGAATTTTTTTTCTTATATTCTTATTCTATTATTAGATTATAAATTCAAATTAATTGATTAAGATAATTATTACTTCGAAAAAAATTTAAAATTTAAATTGATGGAATAATATTTAAAATTTAAAATTTATTATTTGTAGTAACTAAAAACTGATTTAAAATTAATTTTTTTTCATTGATTATAAAAATTTAATTGAAAAAAAAATTATGATAAAATTTGAGAAAATATTCAATAAAATAGATGTTAGGTTATTTTTTTACGATTATTTCGATTAGATATTGTTGGATGATGAAAGTCCCACATCGGTTAATTTAGGGAATGGTCATGGGTTTATAATCTAAGAATACACTCTCCATTGGTATGAGGCATTTTGGGAAGCCCAAAGCAAAGCCATGAGAGCTTATGCTCAAAGTGGATAATATCATACCATTGTGGAGAGTCGTGTTCGTTTAACAGATATATTTATAAGATAAAAAGACATGAACTACTCCCACTTAAAATCATACAAAAATGGGGAAAAGTCTCTCATGGTATCATTATGCTTAAACTTTTTAGATTTTGATATGCCAAAATGTATTTTTTTTTCTACATAAATAAGGATAAAATTAAATACAATTAATTATATGAACCCTTTTTAAGATCAAACACAAGAAATAAACCCATCTTCCACTTGTACAAAAATTATGCAAACAAAATCAATGCAAATCAGGGAAGTTTTGGAAGAAATCTAGCGACAACGAGAATCGATTGGGAGCTATGGGGCTAAGATCCCGGAAAAAGTGGGTAAGAGGGCTGAGCTCAGCTGACTGCGGCGGCGTTGGGGTGAAAATATTCGCTGGAATCGGCGGCAGCAACCCCGGCGTTGGCGATAATATCCCGTGACCTACCCTCTCTGCTCCGTGAGGATTGGTACTCATAATCATCGTCGTATTGGGTGGATGGTGAGAGTCATGGGAGGAGGGTTTGTGGCCAGTGAGGCGCTGGACCAAGTCCTTGAATTGAGTAGGGTCGGTGTGGATGACTTTGGGGGAGACGGAGTAGATGATGACAGGCCGGTGTGGCGGCTTGCCGATCTTGTGGGAGTCTTTGGTGATCTTGAGGGCGGCGGGGCGGGGACCTTGGAGTTGAACCTCTTTTCTTTCAGCCATGGCATTAGGTGTTGAAGAACAAAGAGAAGAAGACATGGAGAGTTGAAAGGTTTATAAAGATAAGTTGAGTATATAATATTAATATCAATATTAAAGGGTTTCTTGGTGGTTTAGAAGTTTGAATTTGTCTTTAAATAAATAAATAAATAAATAAAATCCCATTTTTTTCATGGTTGAAACCGTCAAACCCAAGTCTATAATGCCGTATATACCATTATTGTGTCTTTTCCACGTCGGATTATATTACGCTGACTTGGTGTATCTATTATCTGGAATGTTCTAAGAGTATTTCGTATATATTGCCCTTTCGAATGGTACGATAACAAGTTGTTGTCTCAAATGGTGTGACGGATTTGGTGCATTTCTACGTGTGGGTTTGAATATTTATATGAATTAGTCTTTCAAATAGTTTCAACGAACACTTATTTTGATAACGGATGACCACGATATCTTCTAGACATGGTCATGTGCACTTTGTTGGTGTAGGTAATTGACTTTCAATTCTCAGATGTGATCTTGAATCATTAATGTACCTCTCATTTAGTTTAGACTTATTTTAACAAGTGATATCAATCGAGTGTTCACGGTTCAAGTCTTGCCACGAAGCAAGCTCTCCTGAACACGACGGGTTAGGAAGTGGCACGGACTCAGCATGGACCCTTATATTATTGGGCCATCAAGGGGCTAATTTTTCACTTTGGGCCTATGATGTTTAGTTTAAACTCGTACAAATACTTCTAAAGTTTTGACTCTATTGAGTCTTATTTATTTTTATATATTGTTTTTAGTACAACAACCATCTCAACCATGGTTGAGTTATACAAATGTTTAGTTATAGCCTCCCCTTCCCGTCGGCTTGTAACCATTGTAGCCACTTCTACCGTTAGGTTCATGACTGTTGTATCCACTTCTACCATTGGGTTCATTGCTGTTATATCCACCTCTACCATCGGGTTCGTTACTATTGTATCCACTTCTACCATTGGGTTCGTAGCTGTTATATCCACCTCTGCCTTTGGGTTCATTGCTGTTATATCCACTTCTACCATTGGCTTCATATTTGTCTTCAAGAACTTTTCGTCCTGAAATTAGGATTCAAACAAAAATTACTTCGACTGCAAATCTACAAATTCAATCGGTTAATTTGTATTTAATAAATATTAAATAGTATTAAAAATTTTAGTGAGTAAATCGGGGTTACCAAGTGCAAATTCTTGTGGTATGATCGACTCATAGGACAGAGCAGCGGCGACGGTGCCAGTGGATATGAGGAGGAAGACGGCGAGGAAAGCAGCCATGGGCATAACTCCGGCAGCCTTAGAGCTTGCCATTTTCAGACAAGGGGGTTTAATTTTTGGGGGCTAAAAAGTGTTGGGTTAAAACAAGGGTAAGATTTATACAAATTTTGGTGGGTATTTATAGCTGTAGAAGGGTTGTAAGTAAGGGTATATTAGGTAATTGCCAAGGTGAAAACTTGAAATCAACCACAACGTCGGTCCACATTGCTCGTTGAAGAGGTACCCAAATTCAACCCTAAGGGATAAGTATACGTAAATTTCTACCTTATGATATGACTTTAGTGTATGATTACACGAACCGAGGATTAAAATATCGACATTTTCTTCTCATTTTATTTAACCTATTTTCTAAATTTATTTAAATTAAAATTCCACTTTAAATATTATTTAGTTTGATAGAATCTCATTCTTGTCGTCTCTCGACTATGTTATTCCTTTTAAACAAAACATTCAATCAAACCACTTTTAACATGAAAAATAGATTTAACGTTATGATTTAATTAATGCACATTGAACACGAGGAATATATGGGATGGAGAATAAAGTGTGTGGGTTAGTTGTAGTTTCTGATAACAATAAGTAACCAATGACGACCACCATTTCATTCGTAGAAGCTATATATATATATATATATATATATTATAATTCAATATCTATTTTATAAATTCACATTTATATTCCATGAAAATGATGCAAAACCCACCACGTGATTTCTAATCCTTTTATCCATCATTCCTACGGATCTCTCCAACCCATTCATACCACGTATCTTCTTTAATTGTTTATTTATCTTTCTTTTATAAAGTTAATTAATATCTTTTCAATTTAATATTTAAAAAAAAAATCCATATTTTAAAAATACTCATAAATAACATTAACACTAGTAATCTTTTTTATTTAATTTTTATTAAAAAGTTTTTAACATCAATATATGAATAAATATCATCTTTTTACGCCTCTCATAGATAATCTCCTTCAATTTTAAGGATATTTTTAATAACAAATAAAAAAAAAAAATTAAAGTCCATAGATATATATATTTTTTTAAATGTGTTATTTGTGGTAAGAGTTTATATATATATATATATTATTGAAAATTTTGAAAATTAAAAATATTTTAAAAATAAAGTGCAAAATTTAGAAATATGTGAACGGAATTAAAAAAATAAGTGCCTATGTCACACCCATCCACCACGTGTCACCTCCTCAACAATTATGAAGGGAGATTCCATTAGTATATTCCATTTACTTTAATATTTACATAATCGAGGATTAATCTATAATAAATTTGTAAGTCAACCATAATAACAGCCCTATTCAACAATAATTAAACGAGAGGGGGAGAGAAACCGCAATCTAGGATTAAACAACGTAATTAAGGAAGTAAGTAAAGCTCTATAATAATAAAATAATATTAATTTAATTTAATCATTATGTAATTTAAGTTAGTAGGAACGAAGATACGCCACGTAATCCGTTTAATCACGTGCATTGCAACATCCTTATTACGCTTGCATCTAATTTATTTAATTAAATAATGTATATTCATCATCTTTCTCCTTAAATCCACCACTGCAAGCACGCTGTACCACTCCCATTCCCGCCGACCATCTTCTTCTCCCAATTACCATTCTATCCTTCTATTAAATATACATTTTTTAAACAAAAAATTGATTTCCTAGTTATTATAAATTCGACTCAACATAATTATATTACAAATATGATCAAATATTGATATATTGTTCAGTCAAAATTCAATTTAAAAGTTCTTATAATAATACAATTTAAAAATTGAGATTTGGAGGGCTGGGGATATAACAGTCATTTTGCACACAGATTCTCAACGACTACCAAGTGAGGTTTGACTAATCAACGTCAATCACTTTCAATAATGTAATGCACCCAATGAAAATAAACCACGTGGACTTTGACCCCACGACCCTTCCGCCTGTTATACAGCTCCAATCTCATGAACTCTCTCTTGATCTTCCTACGTCAAAAATTATTATAAATTAAATTATTTAATATTCCTTAATAATTATTAAATGTACTTTTATAAATAAATAAATATTTATTTAATTAATGTTTATTTTTGCATACACACGCTCACACCCTTCCTTGGCCCTAACGACTCTCCAACCGCCCACGTTTCTCTTCACTCTACATAATTCCCTTCCTCTCCTCCATCTTCACATCTCTCCGCTCTCTCTCTCTCTCTCTCTCTCTCTCTCTCTCTCTCTCAATGTTCTCTACAGAAATGTCCGACCACCACCAGCTCCCTCAACCACCTCCGCCACCGCCCTTCGCCTCGCATCTCGAGCGGAAATGGAAGCCCCATCTCGAAACAGCTCCAAATTGCCCTCGTTGCGCCTCCGCCAATACCAAATTCTGTTATTACAACAACTACAGCCTCTCCCAGCCTAGATACTTTTGTAAATCCTGTCGACGCTATTGGACCAAAGGTGGCTCCCTCCGTAACGTCCCTGTCGGCGGTGGCTGTCGTAAGAGTCGTCGTACCAGGTCTTCACGATCCTCAACTGTCTCACGTTCTACCAACCCCGACACTTCTACACAAATCACTGAATCCTCCTCTAATGGACCCGATATCGATCTTGCTGCCGTTTTCGCTAGATATTTGAACACTACCCCACCGAGTACTGAGCACCACACGTTGACCAGCTCGCCCGAATCCGTTGACCCTTTAGAGAATTGTGAAATCTTCTTTGAAGGGCTCACGGATTTGTTAATTGAGGAGGAAAATCAACCCCAAGAACAAAAACAGGGGATTATGGGAAATTACGAAAATACTCCATTTGGGTTACACGCGGAATTGGGCGTTGAGGAAGAACTATGGGCGTCGCAACAAATCCAAGAATTGGACTCTTTTTCTTGCAATTATAATGCGAATCAATTCTGTGAAGTGGGAGACAATTGGAGCTCATTCGACTTTGCAGCCGTAAATAATGTCGAATATTTCTAATTATATCATTACATTTATATACTTATACTTCTATATATATATATATAAACATGGGATTGGGTACTGTTACATTGGAAACTATATGTTAAAATAAAATTTAGTGTATGGGGAGAGGCATATCAGTGATTATAGCAATGCTTCATGAAATACAATTTTTCCTTAAATGTTTATCATCGCGTTCATGTGTTATATTATGTATTATTTAGTTGAATAATGGTTATCTCTTGGCTCGTGTCGTTAAAATTATAACTTCTCTAGAGTGGTATCTCACTGATGGTTTGGGGTCTTTTTCGTTCTCCACCTAAACTGGGCATGAAAGACCCAAAGTCAATCTTAAAGTACAGTGAAGATTTATAGGGTCTTTTGTGTCGAGGTGCAGGTAGTCTGTATCTTCACAGACATGTCTATTTTCCTGAGGTTTTTTTTGATATAGTGACTTGATCGTTATATATTTCGTGTGGATAAACGCATCTACACAGCTTAACAACACTATTTTCTTTTAAAATACATGATCCAAATGGAACCGAGGAGAAGGTTGAGAAAGTCAACAATGTGATGTCAACAAATCACATGGCTTGAAAAAAGGATCATGAATCTGCGGGTTGTGTGAATTAATGGCAAGGGATATTTGATTACGTTTCCTCTATACTTATTATTTTGTGGTTCCTATCAATTTCTCACCAATTTTGCGCACCATGGTTCAATGTCATTGGACCTACCTCTTTTCGTCACACCCAATTTTAACATATCTTATCTACTTTCACCTCGGTCAAGATTGAGATTTTTCGGAAGAAATCTCGAAACTAAACTAATTAATTAGGGAAGATAAATATGAAGGGAAACACAGCCCTTTTCAGCTGCTCTCTGCACGGTGATTATCCTTCTGTTTGTTCCAATTATTATAATGAACTTTAGATCTAATTCTATTCTACATATGCACGTTGCATTAGAGAAGCCGATCTTTCACTTTCTTTTTGTGTTTTCAACTGATAGTCGTCCATCTAGCTCCATCAGAGTTCTCTTTTGCATCACGGGTAACAATATAGGCTAGAGCCCATTCGATTATTATCTCGCCCTCACCCTCTCGTTCATTATCATTACTGCTACTTACGTTGACGTTGACATTGACTTGATAGATTTATCAAATTAGTCGAAAAACTGTTATTATTATTTATTATTTTATTTAATAATTGTGGATTGTGATTGAAATATTGATTTATAAAATAATTATTATATTTTATTAATTGAGAACCAATTAAATATAAGCCAACAAAGAGTATTAATTTAAATTTAATATGACACTATGAGGTGTGAATTTGGTCCCGGTTTGAAAAAGGACAGTTTTGGTCGTAAATGACGTGGCAACTTTTTTATTAATTTTATATTGAATTTTGGTCTACGTGTCAAATAGGGAGATAATTTGGATATAAATGGTAATAAATATATATAATTTTCAATTTGGGCCTCCATGTTAGCTCTACGGCCCAATTACTCCAAAAACATTTCAAATCATGAAGCCCAACAACTATTAAGGCCCAAGCCCAATTGTATGACACGGTCATTTTTAAGCCCAACTTAAAAACAATGGCTTAAATAAATAAATAAATAAATAATAGAGTCAAGGGTATTCCTTTTTTAATATTTAAATAAGAGCTAGGAGGAATTAAATATATATAAAAGAAAGTTTAAAATAATAATTCATGAAGCATGCCTTTTGGGTTTCTTTAAATTAATATTTTCCTAGATCCATATAATTATAATTATTGTATTTATAAGTTCAAGAAATGCTTATAAACCATATGACATATCACTTTCATTTCACAAATCTAACATCAATTTCAAGTTAATATTAATTGAGTTAATGCTTCCAAAAACATTATTATAAATGGATGAATTAAAACGCCAAACCTCAATGCTTTTTATAGATAGACAAGACTCGTAAAACAATTTAAAAAATTTGAACTGGTCGAGAGTACCGACTTAGTTGTCTCATCTTCAAACGTATACTTATATCTAATTCTTAGGACTTGATGCTCGAGATGCACAACATAGACAACAGTTCAATTATGCTCAAATTGAAAAATTTTGAGGGAAGCTGCGGTGGAAAGTGTAAAGCATTAGTGATGGGTTTAAGCAGTTACAAATGGTATTAGAGTAATCATCGTCATTGATCGGAGTAGAGTTGACCCTCTCTCATAAAAGACGTGAAGATAACGATTATAAATAACGAGGTTGAATTAGTCAAAATTTGGTTACTTTAATCTTATAAATTAATTAATAATAGTAAACATGGGTCCAGTTATGAATACATTAATGGTGTAATCATCACCTAATTAAAAAAATTAAAACTTGATTAATTAGCATAAACCCCTCGATATATTCTAATAAAATACAAAGAATACATTAGCTGCATCTGCGTGTATGCTTATGGCATTGCTTAATTTTTTAATTCAAATTGTAAATAGGTTTAACCTTCGTTAATTAAAATACTCCCATATTTCATTTTAAAAATTACATTTATTTAGGCCCACAATTATAACATTAACATTTTCAAAATAATATTAATAATTTATTCATTTTTTTTGGCATGGGTCAAGCTCTAGCAATTTATTTTTTTATTTTTTTATTTTAGTCCTCCAATTTTTTAATTTACAAAAAGAACGTATTTGAGGTATTTAAAGTCATATGAATAGAATTAAAAAAAAAAAAAAAAAAAAAA